TGTTTTTATTTCGCTACATAATTTCTCATTTTCATTTCCCACTACTTCAACTTGTTTTACCATTTGCTCCGCTACCTCTCGCACTTTATTAATTTCTGCAGCATTTTTTAAGTACATTTCTTGGTGCATTTTTAGGGTTGCTAACCTCTCATTATATTTGTCTTCCATCGCTTTCATAAGGTCTTTTAACTCTCTCTTGCTGGCTTGTATTGCCCGATCAAATTCATTTTTATATTCTTTTAGGTACACACTATTTTTATTAACACTCTCTTGCATATCTCGCACTACTAAGTCAACATTATGTATATATGTAATGCACTCATCACAGATAAACTTCACCATTGGATGCGATCCTATTACATTGGCTTTGTAGCTATCCAACCCAGAACATTTTGATGCAGTGTGGTATACCTTTCCGCATACACCCACACACCTGACACCTGTCTCTCCACGTATTGCAACTTTACATTTCTCACACTTGTCCGTTTCAGACATTTCGTCTTTAAAACCGCGCGCTTTTCCACTATTTTACTTTGTTTGTATATATGTATCTCGTTAGATGAATATGCTTACATACATATGTATGTGTTATATTCGCTAGTTAGAGTCACTTTCTCACAATATTATATTATTTAATTGACACAGTTTATTTATATTTATAATCAAACGAACCGCACGTTCGCAGTATTCAGAAGAAGCACAACGCACTTTCGCCTTGATTCACGGTTAACGGTGTCTTTGGTTGACTTTCGTCTCTCCAGTGGACCTCCTGTTCGTTGTATGCTGCTTCCATCGCGAGAAATTTTGCGTTAAGTTCCGGGTCGACGAGTGCTTTGGCGGCCCATGCCGCTATCCGTTTCCTTATCTCTCGAGTGGGGCCTGTGTGTTCGATGCCCAGTTCCTGTGTGATGGACACCAACTGTTCCTTGGATACGCTGTCCAGCCACGCTATGCTCACTGGTNGGTGGTGCCTGTGTGTTCGACGCCCAGTTCCTGTGTGATGGACACCAACTGTTCCTTGGATACGCTGTCCAGCCACGCTATGCTCACTAGTTCTGTCATGGCTGGTTTAATTATTGGCTTCGAAATGTTCTCCTCGTATTGTACTATTTGCAGTGTCCCTGCTCGGGCGCCAATTGTAACGAAGCGTTTTCTGTGAAGGCCCCGTCGCTTCTGTTTTCTATGCTGGGGTATACTCGCCGTGCCCAGGGTCCGTTACAATAAATTTATATTGTGGGGCCTTTGCAAATAGTAATTTATTTATTTATCCTTATTCTCTATAACGTGGAAATTCTTAAGATTACAAACACAATATGATTAACGGGATGTAAATTCCTAACGGTGCTATTCTGTCGGCGCCGCTGTATCGTCGCTCGGTCGCTGTGCGACGCCGGCGCTCTGCTGCTATGTGGCGTCGGCGTTACTATGCCGGCGCTCTGCGTCTGTGCGACGTCGGCGCTCTGCTGCTAATTGACGTCGGCGCTACTATGCCGGCGCTCCGCTAGTATGTGACGTCGGCGTTACTATGCCGGCGCTCTGCGTCTGTGCGACGTCGGCGCTCTGCTGCTAATTGACGTCGGCGCTACTATGCCGGCGCTCCGCTAGTATGTGACGTCGGCGTTACTATGCCGGCGCTCTGCGTCTGTGCGACGTCGGCGCTCTGCTGCTAATTGACGTCGGCGCTACTATGCCGGCGCTCCGCTAGTATGTGACGTCGGCGTTACTATGCCGGCGCTCTGCGGATGTACGACGTCGGCTCTCTGCTGCTACGTGACGTCGGCGTTCTACTATGCCAGCGCACTGTTGCCCCACGATCGGGCGTCGCTGTCACGCGTGTTCGCGGTGGACTGTGGCGTGGCGGCGCTCTACCCTTGAATAGCCAAGCCTTGTATAGTCGCCTATGTACAAGTCGAGAGCTATTCTCTAGTAGCTGTGCGTTCACGACCACGGCTCCGCTACTGACGCGTAGACTCTGGGCGACGTTGGCGCTCCCTGTTGGTGCGCGGCTGCTGGGTGACTTCGGCGCTACTATGTCGGTGCTCTGCTGCTGTGTGGCGTTGGTGCGACGATGGCGGCGCGCTGCTGCTGTGCGACGTCGGCGCTCTGCTGCGTTGTGAGCGGGCGTCGCCGTTACGCGTGTTCGCGGTGGACTGTGGCGTGGCGGCGCTCTACCTTTGAACAGCCAAGCCCTGTATAGTCGCCTATGTACAGGTCATGCGCTATTCATTAGCAGCGGTGCGTTCACGACCACGGCTCCGCTAACGACGCTTAGATTTTGGGCGACGTCGGTCTGCTCCTCTGGGTGGCGTCGGCGTGGGGGCTGGTAGGCGAACTGGCGTCGCCGTCGCGCGGCTTCACGGTTGACTGTGGGGTGGCGGCGCTCTACCTTTGAACAGCCAAGCCTTGTATAGTCGCCTATGTACAAGTCGAGAGCTATTCTCTAGTAGCTGTGCGTTCACGACCACAGCTCCGTGCTGACTGTCTCGTATGTTGCCAAGTCCCATCTGTTATAGCTGGTGTTCTTCGTGTTGCTGAGTTGTGTGGCTACATGTTGCGTTGCTATGGTGACGGTGTCGCAAAGGAGTGTTGATACGGTCTCTCGTGTTGGTTAGCCGTTTCGATGATGTTGCTGTAGTCGTTATTGTTGCCGGTGTAGTCGTTATTGTTGGTGTAGGGGTTTGGGTTCGTGTGGGCTAAATTCCGCGGATATTTAGTCCTCACATTATATTTTTATATTTGTTTATTGCATTTTACGTACGCACTATTTGCTTTGATGCCTTTGAATCGTGATATCTACGTATGTTCTAGGGACAACTCACACAGCATGATTCGTGTCTTGACTAAGCAAAAGCAAGGTCTTAAAATCTGCCACATTAATGCGCAATGTTTATCCAAAAAAATTGACGAGTTCAGATTCCTTTTCGAGAAATCTGATGTAGATGTAATATGTGTGTCGGAGACTTGGTTCTCTGCTGGGTGCAGTGACCAATTATTTTTTGTAAAAGGGTATAAGTTATATCGGGTAGATAGAATCGGGCGCGGTGGTGGAGTAGCTATTTATGTCAAAAGCGGTATTTCATGCAAACTTGTTTGTGTGTCTTCGTCTCCAAGCTTGATTGAGTATATTTTTGTGGAAATATTTACAAAATTTGACAAACTGCTCGTTGGCTGTGTATACAGACCCAGCAAACACATTGATTACATGCAATTCCTAGAAAATATATCAATCGGCTATAACAAAATTATTTTGACAGGGGACTTTAATTGCGACATACTCAGTTATATAAAATTTCCACTTCTTATACAAAATTTGGGTATTTCCTTTGTAAACAACGCCGAACCGACTCACTTTACGTGTACTTCGATTACTCTTTTGGATATTTTCCTGGTAAACGATACGTCTAAAGTGCTTTTATATGATCAGCTTTCAGTTCCTAACTTCTCCAAGCATGACTTGATATTCTTAACATACGACTTTCATTTTGTCCGCAACTTCACGTCTTATTCGTATCGTGATTTTAACCATATTCACTATGACCAACTCGATGCAGCCGTTAATGCTATTAACTGGAGGTTTATCTATTGTCTGACCTCTGCTGATGATCAGATCAATTTTATTCAGAACAATGTTAGAACCCTCTTTGACCAATTTGTTCCGCTTGTAACGAAGCCTACTAGATTTAAAAGGCGTCCATGGTTTAACAACAATATACAGAAATTGATAGAAAAACGCAACACAGCGTACTCGGTTTGGAAGAAGGCAAAGTCAGAAAGTGCCTTCACTGACTATAAAACTTTTAGAAGGGACGTTACCAAAGCTATTAAATGTCAAAAACGGAAATATTATGAGCACCTATTCAGTACAGCTATTGGCTCACAGCAGACTTGGAAGCAGATTCGTAATACAGGAGTTAGTAAGAAGAGTACATTGGAGTGCAATGGGGTATAGTCGTTGCGCTGGGTATGCAGTTACAGTTGCATGGCTATACCCAATCCAAACTCTCGCGTCCTCGTTCGCGCACTCTGGGCAACGTGAGCAACCCATGTGCGAGATGCGGTAACCAATCTGAGTGGAGCCTTGTGTCACGGCAGAAAGAGAGGGAGCTTCGGTGGAGCCACTCCGACTTATTCGGTTTAAGGGCTCACTGAAGTCTGCAGCGTCTGTTCACCAGTAGGTGCGGCTGCAAGCGGGTGTCTGCTTGGAGCAAGCGGCTCGCTATATAAAAGTGTATTTGGTTGCGAAACCACCCCCGTCCCAGCAATGGGTTGTGCGC